AGAGAGAGAGAGAGAGAGTGACGGGGAGGGGCGCGAGAGAAAATGAAAGATGAATGAGTGTACACAAAGGGAATGTTTTAGAGAACAATGAATATAGGTATATCTTGTATTCGTGCTCAGGCGTGTCCTGCGTGCAAACGTGAGTATATTTTCAAGCTTTGCGAGCTAAGATAAATAAACCCGATTTAACGGCGCTCGAAAACGCTCGAAATTTACTCACTTCTGTATGCAGAACACGCCTGAGCACATACAAAGTCATGATAGCGCGCAACACGCAAGATCAACTCACATTCAGTGACAATAACAACAAGAAAGGAAAAAGAAAGTAGATAACGGCAATTGAAACTGAAACTGAAAATACAATGCCACACGACGTTGCATTGCAGCGGCGCCCGCTCCGCTCTGCTTGCAGTGTGGCCACTCAATGTTAACGCCTCAAACAGCTGGGCTCTGCTTGCAGTGTGGCCACCCAATGTTAACGCCTCAAACAGCTGGGCTCTGCTTGCAGTGTGGCCACCCAATGTTAACGCCTCAAACAGCTGGGCTCTGCTTGCAGTGTGGCCACCCAATGTTAACGCCTCAAACAGCTGGGCTCTGCTTGCAGTGTGGCCACCCAATGTTAACGCCTCAAACAGCTGGGCTCTGCTGCGCCCGCTCTGCTTGCAGTGTGGCCAGTGCAGTTGCGAGCGCCGAAAAACCTCTTCTAAAAAAATTATTTTTTTAAAATGAACTAACACAAAAGCCAGTCCAGTCAAACTGACATTGTCGGTCGTCTGCACAGCCCGAACCACTCCCATACACACTTTTCACTCCAGCCTACGGCCTGTTCCAGTGAATCCGGCGGGTTTAATTAATTAACACTTTAACCCGTTCACTGCCTCTCCCGCGATTGTAGAAGCTATCTAGTATCTAGTAGAAGCCGTTTGATCAGATTGTAAAGCTAGCCTGGCAGGGAAAGGGTGAAGGGACATGCGGTTGTTGGGGTCATCAAAGTTCATTCAAAGTAGGAGTGTTACAGGACTTCTGAGTGGGGCTGTGTGTGTGTGTGGGGGGGGGGGGGGGGGCTTGACGCAATGCACTTTACGTCAGCAGGATAAGAGTGCGGTCAGCTCGCTCGTTGCGGAGCAAAAACTGAAGCTAAATATAAAAACGACATTACGTGTGGAAGTGGTGCTCTTCTTAGGTTATGACATTCGAGTCGAGCACGTAAATGAGGGAACGTTGGAGAACATGGTACTGGCTTGGTGATTGCATCATTCCCGGATTTGCAGGATTTGTCAATGATGCGATAACAAATTGAATAGGAGCAATGAAGAAATGTCATTTTCAATCCTAGGGAAACTTGAAATGTCAATCCCCCCCCCCCCCCCCCGGGGCTTCGCTTTCGACTCCCCAATGGACCTTTCTTGGGGCCTATGCTGGAACAAAAAAAAAAAAAAAAAAAGAAAAGAAAAGAAAGAAAATCATCTTTTTGAGTTGTACATATATGTATTATTTATTGAAGGAACCAGAGGAGAAGATCTGGAAATGGGGGCTCTCGTGGCCTAGAGGTTAAGGTGTTGGCCTCTCATTCCAAGGTCCCGGGTTCGAATCCGGGTAACAACCGAAAAAAAAATTTCTTTTCTAAATGTGTCTCCTTTCACCCCATTTCATGCTCTCTCTACGTTGATTAAAGGCACAAAGAATGTAAATGTTCAGTTACCACGGACTCTTAAGCTAAGGAAATAACTAATCTTTGGCGGACATTTTCTCACTAATTTTATCTCTGAAAACAGGTGACCCCACCTCCTTCTTTCGCAAATATCTCGACTTGTATTCAAGGTAAATGGATATTTTTTTCATCCAAATAAAGACAAATGAACAAGCTTTAAGATGATACAAGTAACTCTACATGCCTAAAAATTGACGAGAGCCTGGTTCCACTACGCAGCATCACATATCACTTTCACAAAAAATTCAACATGAATGAAGAGAGAAAAAAAGCTGCCAATAATACATACACATCACATCAGGTGCATCTTTCAAAACATGCAGAAATTTATCACCCACCTTGAAAGTTATATACATTCGATTAGTATTAGTAGAGTATGAGTGACAGTCGAGGGGCAAGAGCATATATTGTCACTGTTCAGTGCAAGTTGGTCAGCGTACGGTGCTAGATAGGGACAGTAGAGTAGGCTGTCACGGGAAATGGGAATTTGTGACTTCTCGACGGACATCTTGAAGTTGGTGACAGCTACAAGAGGTGGGTGTTTATATTTAACTACAATCTGCCGCTGTGTTGTCTTACAATTTGCGTAGAAATGGGCGATAAAAGCTAGAAAGAAAAATCCACTAATGAATTAAAGTTGAACAACAAAAACATGAAGAAATACAGCTAATAATTGTCCGTCATATTCTCTTCTTGTTTCATCTTGGTGAGGAAATATCACTGTACCTATGTACCTGCTCACCCACATTCTCGTAGTCAACGATAGATACAAAAAAGTTCCCTAACATGGAACCGTACCCGAAGAACAGACAAGGGACAGACAAAATCATACACAGGACAAAACAACAACATCCAAACATGACGCGTTTCTGCTTCATCAAGGTCGTCCACAGCGTCTCCGCCTCCTGCAAATCCTCAGGGTCGCTCGGCTGTGAACATGATGAAAAGAAGAACAAAAAGTGTTTTGGAGATGATAATGATGACAATAGTGATGATTATGACGATGACAATGATAATGACAATGATGATAACAATGACGATGATGATGATGATGATGATGATGATGATGATACTGACTATGACAATGACAATGATGATGACAATGACAATGACGATGATAATAACATTGATGAGGACAATCTTTATTTATCTCTCAGGGAGAAATGTGTCTTGGTCTTAACTATGGCAGTGGAATGTAGCAAAGGTTAGGTGAACTCACGCATACACGCAACAAGACAGGACATCAATAAAAACATGTTTTATGTTCTGAAACTACCCAACTCTGTACTGTAAACATTTTCTGTCTGTCTGTCTGTCTGTCTGTCTGTCTGTCTGTCTGTCTGTCTGTCTGTCCGTCCGTCCGTCCGTCCGTCCGTCCGTCCGTCCGTCCGTCCGTACGTCCGTCTCTCTCTCTCTTTCTCTCTCTCTTTCTCTCTCTCTCTGTCTCTCTGTCTCTCTCTCTCTCTGTCTCACTCTCTCTCTTTCTCTT